CATCGGTATTATCACCATTATTATATACCTTGATTGCATATACAGCAAGAAACATGAGTTTACATCCTGAATAAAGGGCAGTTGTTTTTTTTTACATTCACATAGATTCCATACGGTAGATCATCGTTAGTAATCGTTTATGTTCACAAATTCAGTATTACCACAACATATAGTTACCAACCTGAGAGATTTGAAATGCGTGAGTGACTATACCAGTTGGCTGGGGTCCAAGCGGTAGGGGAAACACCCCACCCCCGCCGCTTCCACGATCTGAGCATTTTTAAGCTGTTTTAAAACGATTTCAGTGAGTGTTTGTTGATAATACAGGTACATAAGCAAAAATATTATTAATAAAGCCAACTTGAGTTTCAATGTAGGCCTATGTTTAATTTGAGCACCAGCACTATGTAGACCTACACAAACATTTCATTACTGACCAATTTTAGTAACTCGTTAGTGAAATAAGTAGGGCCTTCAAGGAAATACTGTACTCTCTCATGATTCAAGTTACTGCATCATCGTTTTTATAGTTTTAATACAACCAATTTCTTAAATCGTTATCACGCATAGACTTTTGTTAAATGCGTGACAAATTTAGGATCACGCATGTGTTTCTGCAAAATTCTTGTTTCATCGAAAATCACCTTGAAATGGGGGACAATGCGAGACGGTTGATAATGGTAACTATGTTTTCATAAGCACAATTCTTTGGATCATTTGTTTATTATCAAGTAAAATGAGTAGGTTTACGAATGGATGAAAAAACATAATACTGTACGCCATAGCGCCTGTTATTAACATTGGATTTATATTACGTAGACGTATTGCAATAACCTAAATTTAGTTGTGTTTACCTCTATTTTAACAATGGGCTTCTTGTACCATATGATTCTTAAATCATGCTTGGGGTCCTTAAAATGTTAACATGTCTATGGCAAAGTTTTTACTTCCACTGGGCTGCTTTATTAAATTTAGAACAGCTTAAAGGAGTTTTTCTAATAGGCCTATATAGTTTTAGATAGGACCACGAAAAGTACGGTACCCAGTGATTAATTTTTGGCGCAATTTATTCTATTTATGACCTACGGTACTGTATATATCATCTTGCTAAATTCAAACCACCCCGTGCACATTACCCAGGGATTGAATTTTCTCTACTTTATTGAAAATTTAGGCCTATTTATCGAAATTTTTATATTAGGCCTATGTTTTAAATATTTTTTTTTCATTATTTTGTTTTTCTTCACGGGCTATAAGGTCTACGTGACCACTTCAAACAATCACATCAACCATGGTTCACTATGAATTAAGGCAGTCAAGCCAAAAGGTAAATAATATTGAACAAAAAGCTGAGCGAGTGGCTAGTTACTACTTTTACCAACTTACCCAGCTAAAAACATTATATAAGAACGTTGAAGTTTGGTATACAAAATGTTTTTATTGTATGACCATAATCAAGCAATAACGTTGCAAACGTCACTGCAACGCTGTGTTAACGATTTTCTTAACAGCCACAATGAATGTAATGAATGAATGTAATACTTTTACCAACGTTAGTCCCACAATAACGTCAGCAGTATAGGCTCATTGCTGAATTCGACTTCTTGGATCCCAAAGCAGCCCATTACTCTCCTTTTCCCAGCCTGGGCTCTAGCTACGATTACTAAAACAATACTTTTATGAAATTGTTAGATCTAAGGTTTGATTAAAACAAGAAGAAAGATATAAAAACTGTCAAACAGAAAAAAGCAAACCCAATTAAACAGCTCCAAGGAAACCAAATTAGCCATTAGTAGGCCTAAAATTCTGAATGAGTGAACACCTTGCTGATAACCTTACTGTGATTAAAAGACTTTTTGAAATCGAGACAAGAAACAAATCGACACAATTTCCCAAACATGTCTGAATCATTTAGCAATCTATAAAATCGAAGAGCATCTGCATAATAATTATCTTTCAATCCAAACAAAGTAATTATGAACTCAGTTAAAGTCAACTTAAGATTATAATGGTGAACTGGAAAACCTCACTTATTATTGGACATAGCTAATGAGAATGGTGAAACTATGTTGCTGATTATCTTGAAGATAACTGGATCACAAGACAATCCACCAGCATTGGTGAATAAGCCCTATAGTGCAATGGTGGAAAAGAAAGTTGAATGCATCCGACACCATTAAATTCATAAGATGTGTCTAGTTGGGTATAGCCTAGGCCTACTTACTAAAACTTGGATTAATATAACACCCTTTATTTTACACAATTATATATATATATATATATATATATATAAAAGAATAAGTGGATATATATGTATATATATATATATATAAAAAAAAAATATCTCAATTTTTTGTGAAACAGTGCTCAATCCCACTGAAAAATCTATCTCTTATATATTTTTTTTTCCCTACAAATCATGATTTGAACATAAACGGTTAAAGAGATGGAATATTCATAATTAAACCGCTACACATGCAAGAGGCCACCTTATCCAACCGCTAACTCTTTTAAAAAATATAAGAAAGAGAATAACTTGTAAAGTTACTGAGTCTACTCTTATCAATATATCATATTGTATACCAAAAGTTCTTCCTTGCAATTTTTGTAAATGAAGACTAATTTTCTACAGTAAAAAAACGAAATGCAAACCTTCTCAATTCCATCACGACACGACTGTATACTATGCAGATACACCAAAATCCATGGCTCATCATAAGAAAGTGCAGGTGAACAGCCTGACTGTGGCAGTGCACAGCGGTTATTCAAACAAGCACGAACAACTGTAGGTTGAAGTGTTCGTTCTAATTAAAAGAATATACATACTATTGTTTAAAAACAGACGCAATAACTGGGTGTTTTGCGTTTTCCAGTTACCTTATCCTAGATTATTTTACTTACGGTCAGATCAACCCGGTTGGCCGTCAATTGTGTGCTTATATACAGAAACTTCATACTTAAAACAAACTTTATACTTAAAACAAAGCTTAAAACAATTTCATAAATAAAACAAAAAGTCACAATCTTAGTACCGTTACAGTATACCGACCGGTTAAATTAGAATGAATAACGAGTAAAGTAGCTTGTGTGTTAGTGTTAGTTTAGCCGTGCGCTTCTCATACACACATAATCCATTGTATGTTAGGTTTGTTTGAACACCTTTATTAAATATTTGTACCTGTTAGTTGAACCCGTGTTGCTTTACAGCAATTGGATGTGGTATGATGACATAATACCGGCCTACATGGGTGATGATCGCATTGAATTTGTATGCGGTTTACATGGGGATACGGATTGATAAAAATAATATTTCAAAGCTTTTTCACAATTTCATACTTTTTAATGTCTTTTAAAAATAAATAAGATCATCATAGGTCTAATAATCGTAATGTAAACTTATTCTTGAATCATGTTCTGCTTTGTAAATTTGTCAATTTTCAAAATTTTATAAGATGAGTTTTCGGTACAACATTTACACGTGCGCGGAGAAAATGCTTGTTTTATAACCAAATTTGAACAGGACCATATGGAAAACAGACTTTAACAACCACCTGATATGTTGTATCCTGTATAAATATTTAAAATTTTAGGAACAAAACTTAAAAAAAAAACATTAAAAAAAAGGTAGGGCTACTACTCAAAATCGACTAAATCGACTTTCAAATTGAAATGGCTGATGTAGACGAACGGTTTTCTGTTTAATATTTATGCATGAGATATTGTAAAAGATATACAGCATGGTTACAGTATATTTCGGTAAAGCAGTGAATTGTACTTTCCTCGTTGTTGCATGAAGACTACGGTACCTCCCTCCAATTTGCTTGAGGATCTAGCCACAATCCAACCTTTAACCTTTTGGGGCCAGGGAGCCGCACATGGCCCCCGGTGGGGGTGCACGGTACTTGATAAATTATGGCGATTTTTTATTACTTATTTGATAGGCATCGGGTTATTATAATTTCATGTAGGCTATGCTTTTTAATGTCAAAAATCAGCTTCCAAAACCAAAACATTTTGAATAAAACAAGAAACAAAGAGTATGCAATGTAACCATCTAATTTATTTCCAAATCCTCATTCTTGGAAGTGAAATTCTATATTTTGGAAATTTTGCATGAAATCTGTAAACCACGCTGTCATGGTCGAGGTTGCTAATAAGCTAAGACAGCCCTCTCCGGCGCCACCACTGCACGTAGGCATTCGCAGTAAGTCTTACGCATTCAAATCAAGTCAGTCTTAAGCAAACACCATCAAAACTTACGCTTATCCTAAAATTTGAGTAAATTTTGTTTGTTTGAAGGTTTGCATGGCGAAGTATAATATATATATAATATATATAATATGCGGCACACCACGTAGAGTTCTGAAAAGAACTGTTGTTGTTGGTTGAGAATATCTCGACGTTTCGGTTGACTTGCTTCAACCGTCTTCAGGAGAATAATATCTGCATAGATCTCAAACAGGGAAATACTTATATGTTTGAGTGATGAGACTGGCTGCTGATTGGTTGAAAACTAAACAAAGGCTGAGCCTACCAGTGAAAAGCTATACAAAAGCTAAAATTCACGGTCTGAATAAAAATTGTATGTTATCATGGCGAAATAGATTATCTTGACAAGTCGACATAGTAAAAATTGTATGTTGTCATGGCGAGATAGATTATCTTGACAAGTCGACATAGTAAAATTTGTATGTTGTCATGGCGAGATAGATTATCTTGGCAAGTCGACATAGTAAAAGTTGTATGTTGTCATGGCGAGATAGATTATCTTGACAAGTCGACATAATACAAATTGTATCTTGTCATGACAACATAACTTTTATTATGTCGACTTGTCAGGATAACCTATCTCGCCAAGACAACATAACATTTTTACTATGTCTAATTGTTAAGATAATTTATCTCACCATGACAACATACAACTTATATTATGTCGACTTGTCAAGATAATCTATCTCGCCATGACAACATACAATATGTATTATGTCGACTTGTCAAGATAATCTATCTCGCCATGACAACATAACATTTTTACTATGTCGACTTGTCAAGATAATTTATCTCACCATGACAACATACAACTTTTATTATGTCGACTTGTCAAGATAACCTATCTCGTCATGATAACAAAACATTTTTAGTATGTCGACTTGTCAAGATAATCTATCTCGCCATGTCGACATGATATGTATATTATGTCGACTTGACAACATAATTATCTTGAAAATTCGTCAAGTCGAATGGCACTTAGGTGCTTCCGTAGATACACTACAAAGTATTTCTAGCCTCATAAGGAGTGGCGTATGGTCTTGAAATGGGGAGGGGGGTGTGGGGCTGATGAGGGCGCAAAGTTGAAGTGGGGGATCGATGATCAGTTGAACGCTAATTTGATCGCTAATTCGCAAAATATGGTGATTTTAGGTGATTTTTAACTACTTGACTGATTTTTTGATGGAGTCGAGACTGGAGGAGGGGGCGGGGCGAGTAATTTGGAGGGAGGTGTTCCCCATGTGTTATCCCATAGATACGCCACCGCTACAAGTCGTTTTGACTTTAAGGGTAATGTTATTTACAATTAACAGCTTTCTCACACTACGTTAGCAGAATACTCATCATAACACTTTTGAAGGCTTCAGTATGGTTTAGTATTGAAGAGGTACCGTAGTATTAGTGGTAAACATTTCCCCAATACAAATGATTTTGTTTTGATTATATAATAAATAGTTTTTAGTCATCGAATATAACATGTATGACTTAGCCCACGCATGTGCATACTTCAGCCTATTTAAAACTGCAATTCACTACCGGTATTTCCTACATTTATTTTTTTCCTAACTTTACGTAATATTAATAGGACCAATGACATTGTTGATGATGATAATTATAGTAGTTGTAGGACTAATAATAATAATAATAATAATAATAATAATAATAATAATAATAATAATAATAATAATAACAATGATAATAGGCCTAATAATAATAATAATTATAATAATAATATCAACAATTGATGATATTGATGATGATGATGATGATGATGATGATGATGGAGGTAATGGTGGTGAGATGATGTTGATAATGATGATGAGAACATATCTGATTGTCTTTTGTCTTTCAAATTGTTGCTGACAATTTGTTTTTCTCACTTAGGCCTACGAAGATTGACTTTTTACTATATCAGTATTGAATTTAATCCTGTTACCGATATGACATCTGCAAAACTGGCTGCCTCTCTATTTAAAAAATATATCTAACATTTTTTTGTCTATAAGAAGTTCGAACACTTCAAATATCGGCCTACATAGTACAGTGTCTCACAGCAAACGAAGCACAGCCTCTTATTTATAGAACGTCGAGAGTGCCTTCAGTGAGCATTACTTTGCAGCAGAGGAAATCGTCATTCAGTAGTGACCACACTCATTCAGCGGTGACCAAATTAGTAACATTTTTCTGACCATATGCTTTCAAGAAGCCAGAAGTTTTTTCCATGTGACAGGTTGACGTAGATAAGACAATTTTTCGACGACTGTGTCAAAGTCATCAACGTGATCATCACCATCGTCAATATGAATTACCATCATTATCATCATCATCATCACCATCATCATCACCATCATCATCATCATCATCATCATCATCATCATCATCATCATCATCATCATCATCCTCATAATCATCTTCATCATCATCAACAACAACATCGTCATCACCACCAAATCATCAACCACATCATTATCATCATCATTACCGTCAATATAATCATCATCAACATTATTACCATCATTATCTTTGCAGTTATTGACAATGCACATTTCTTTTAATCCTTCCGGCATTACTTGATCAAAAATTTTGGAAATGGAAGTCTGAATTGCTGACCTACTATATCAATAGTGATCTACGAAGATCAAAACAAAGAAATCAATGCAAAACCAGGTTTTTCTGTGTTTTATGGTACATTGCAGTCAGTGGCGTAGAAAAATATTTTTCATTGGGTGATGATTGGCGTGTTAGCCAGTGTCATAACAGGCGCGGGGGGGGGGGTGGTGCAGAGGGAAAACTGCCCCTCCCCTGACGGTTTTTACCGGGCTGACCAAGCCGTCGTACCGGGCTGGGTAATAAGAGAAAAGAAAGAGGGGAGAGGGAGGGAAAGAGAGAGAAGAGGAAAAGAAAAGGAAAGAAAAAGGGAAGACAAAAATAAAGACAAGAATAAAAAGGAAGATATCATAATGACCAGACTCACAACACCCTGCAACCCCTTCTCCACTTCAAAAACTGTCATAACTCCTTTCATCTATGCTGCCCGATGGCGTAACCACTGGGTGACAAGGGGAAAATATCGATCTTTGAAAAATCTTCCCCACCCCTTTATAAATGCCCTTTTCATCCCCTGAAAGTGCCTAAAAACCTCGCGCGCATTTCTTGTTAATGGGCCAATTTCCTCTAAAAATTGCACATTTTAGGGAGTTTTGATCAATTCCAACGAAATTAGAATTAAAAACACCGGGGGACAAGGGGAAAATATCCATCTTTGGAAAATCTTTCCCCACCCCTTGACGAATGCATCATCTGAAAGTGCCAAAAATTCTCAAATTCTTTGCGCGCATTTCTTGTTACGGTAGGCCAATTTCCTCTATAAATTGCACATTTTAGGGAGTTTTCATCAATTCCGACGAAATTAGAATTAAAAACACAAAAATAGATTCATAGTGTGAGAAAGGCCAAGTCCAACTGACTAGGGTAAAGTTATACAATGTCCAGTTATATTATTATATTGTCTGTATACTCAAGTTGACCATTAAAACTGTCAAACCAATTTAAGGCATTAATCAGGTGAAGAGTATCGATTCCAATGGTTATACAAGTTAATACAATTGAACCTTAATACTACATTACAGTATATGTTCAAAGGCATTATAAAGTGCATTCCTTATGCTCTGAGATCATGCGTTTGCCTAAAAACAACAATTCAGTCTTTGCAAGAAGTATAATGAGCAAGGCTACTGGTCCGGATGGCATAAGCAACTAAAATGTTAAAGACATGCAGCCACCAGTTGGCTCCATTGTTTGGAGAAATCTACCGGCGAACTATTGACACTGGTACCATCC